GGCCGCCTCGGTGCTGTCGGGGGACCTGCCTAACGGGACAGGTTCCAGGGCCCCTCTCGAGGGTCAGCTGGAGGCGGTCGCTGTGTCCCGGCTCTCTGGTTGCAGACTTGTAGACCTTAGTTCGTGGAAGGGCCTGTGTCGGCTTGGGGATAGGTGCGTGGAACTCTGCAGGGTTGACGACGACTAAGTAGCCTTAGAGCACAAGTAAGTCCCTGTCTTTTACGGTGAGCCTCTGTACGCAGGTCCCCAGGTCCCACGAGTAATTGTGGAATGCCTAGTGCGCGCGTGGGTTGCAGCTGGAGCAAACCAAACAGGTTGTCCATCTTCCTGGTCACGGTTGCTTTCTAGAGAAAACCGAGAGAGTTGCACTCTTCACACCGTACCCTGCAACCCGGTTTTCAGAGCAGGCCTCCGTTAAAGCAGATCTCTAAGGTACTTCTCAAATGTATTTTAGCAGGCGCTTTACATATGTGGGTTTCCAGTTAGCCTTTCCGTGGCTACCCTTCTTTCCCTCTGGTACTGGAATTTCTTATTTTTTGATGCTTTGGTCTTTATTCAGTCCCTTACCTGGCTTTTTTCCATCAGATCATCAAAGTTTCCTTATCATTTTGTAAACACATGACCCATCTCTTGGGCAACCTCTGCCCCCACTTTCCCCCATTTATTCTTGTTACAGAGGGCTGGGAAGTAATTGATAGGAACACAAATGCACACACACCTTTTTTTTTTCATGTTAAAGACAGGTTATCAGTGGTAGCAAAGAATAAAGCTTGACTGTCCAAACCTGGGCCCCGTATGTACAGTGCATGTATTCCCCGAAGCCCTGTAAAAAGATTTAGTTTCTTTTAGAGATTTCTCCTGAGCCAGTGGGTGTGTGATGGGTGTCTTATGCCTTTCTGGAAGAGGGGGTCCTTATTGCTTAGCACACCAGCTTCCTCCATCATCTCTAACTACAAAATGCGGGACATCATAGTCCTTGGCCTCATTTTGCAATAAGAGAAGACACGGTACCTCTCCTACCAGATCATACCTGCAGACTGTAGGTAGACGCTTCAAAACTGTTTGGTTATCTAGAATAAAATATGTGCCTAAAAGCCAGGGGTGGAAACCACCCTCTTTTAAGTGAAAGTCTCTGGAAGGTCTTGCTCAGGCTTTCTTTTCAATATCCCATTTAATAGACAGGTGATTGGGATTTTCTATCTTCCTGGTTCTGATATTAATTATATTCAGGTGGGACCATGTCGCAGCCATTCAAAAACTAAAGTTTCTTTTGGTACATGTTTACTGATTTCTGATTGGTTTATAGATAAACACATGTGACAAGTCATTTCAGTTATTTTACAAATCCTTAGAAAGTAGGCTTGTTTAAAATATGAGTGGTTTTTTTTAGGGCTTAAATAACTGTTTAGCCTATCTTGATAAAAGCATGTGCCTTGGAAATGAAATTATGGAACATAATTAGCTGTTTTCCTGATCATTACAGTAGATCCAAATATACTTTCAAAAGAATAGATTTGACTCTCATTTTAGGTTTCCCTAGTTCCCCTGCAGACAGTGGCAGGATGACCACCAGGCAGGTTCTTCTGTTTTTATAAAAGACAGTTCACCCTGCCCTAGCTTCATTGTTAAGGTATTTGGTTTTTATTTGACAAGATAGATTAGCTGGGAAGCATAATGTCTTGTTACTTAATTCCTAGCCAGAGCTCGGCTGAGAAAGGTGGCGTCAGGACGCAGCATGTCAAGAATGTGCCAGGCCAGTACATCCATCTTTCTGTAGTGATGGTTCTTTACCTTAGCAGGATATTGAACTCAAGTGGGGATATTTTAAAAATACTGATGCCTGGGTCTTCCTCCCAGAGACCTGATGTAATTGGCCCAAGTATCCAGACATTGTAAGATCTTCTCTGGTGAAACTTTAGAATTGTCTGGACTCTACATCATTAGGAAGTAAAGAGGGGGGTTCAGAATCGGGCTCAGGCATCAGTAACTTTTTAGAAAATGTCCTGCTGATGCCAGTGTATGACCCAGGTTTAAAACTATTGTTTTATTTAAAAATCTACACCTGGAAGTTTTTTGTTTGCAAAATTTTTTCTCTTGCTTGGAATTTAGCATATCCCTCCAGTATAGAATCGCCTTCACTGAAATGTGCTTTGGTGAGATGTTCGCGTTCTGTGTTGAGGGAATTGGGAGAAACAATCCCACAGAACTCATTGCTGCGACTACTGAAAAGATGTTCATTATATTACTCTCTCCTCTTTATGAGGACCCTTGGGAGGAATCTGTCTGTTAGCATTAGATATGGTGGACTTCTCCTGAACAGTTTGCTTGCTTTTATCTTTAAACTTGCCTAGCTGATCAAATTTCTCCTTTTCTATAAAAGCCAGAAAGCTTAGTGACAAACTTGCGGTCCACCTATGACAGGTGTATGGGTTTTGATGGGTGCATTTTTGGTAACCTATTACTGCATCTGTTTTTGCCCCTATGCTTGTTTGGTTTGTCTCCTACCTACTTGGACTTGGTTGTCTCACTAGATTTTGGGTATGGCTGTCGCCTGTTTCTTTTGGAAATGGGGTATAAACATGAGGAGGATTATCAAGTCAGTCTTTATCATTAAGTTAAGAAGAGGAAAGAGGATGAGAGTGTGTATGTGGGGTGGACACCGTATGTGAAACCACGAGTCGTTCATGTCGATCCTCTGAAAGCGTGGGCTCTAGACTTGGGGTGACCTGCACTGCAGGACTTGTCCCTTGGGAGCCACAAAGGCGGCTAGCAGAGGGCTTTCTCAGTGACCTGGAGCAGGGTGGTTTCATGTCGGTTTTCAGTGTTGTGATGGAGAGAGAGAGAACATTTCAATGGCGGGGGTATGCCGAGAGATCTCGGAGCACAGAGGACTTCACTCAAACTTGAGTGACCAAAAGTGAGCGCAGTCCCCACTTTCTTTGTCCTCGTGTGAGTCAGGAGCACCTCCTCTACCTTTCCACATTAGGTACACAGGCTCAAAATCAAAGGAGTGGTTTTCCTTTCTTTTTCCTTAGTTACTGCCAACCCAGCCACAAAGTAAAACTTTTACCTACTGATTCAGATGTCTCACATTCACCTCCTCTGTTCTTGCTGCCTTAGGTGAAATCTTGGATCCTTTTATTGTTTGGACTGAGGTATCTCCTGAAATCTCCTGGGTGAGACAAGGCAGGAATACTCAGAGGTAAAATGATTGTACTGTGAGCATGGTGGCATGCTCAGTGGATCAGGCCGTTGCATGGATGGGCAGTTCGGGGTGGGGGCTGCTGTACTGGGTGCCGACTGGCAGGTGAGGCAGTAGGTCACTAGCAGCATGCTTTGGGGTTTGCATTCTGTCTCTGGTGCCGTGTCTTCTCTGCTTCTTGGCTGCCAGCACTGAGCAGCGTTGCTCCACCACACCCTTCCACCACCCTGGTCTGCCTCACCTTGGGCCAGAGGAATGGAGCCAACCGATCGTGGACTGAACCTCTGCGCCTGTGAGTCCCAAATAAACCTTTGCGTCTCTAAATTGTTCTTTTTAGGGCTTTTGGTCATAGCAGTGAAGAGGTGACCAACAGTACTCATGTAGACTATGGCAGACATCATAAACTTGACTTTCCTGCCTTGGTCTTCCCAGTCCAATAGTGATGATACCCGTGACTTTTGAACCACTCTGGAGCTGTGGGCCGGGGGCTGGCTGCCTGGGGCTCCGGGTTCTTATTCCTCCTGCAGCTGGAGAAACTCCAGTTTTTACATTTACATGTACAAATTGAATATTCAGCTTTACTTGGCATTTGCTAATTAAAAGGCTTGAAAACCATTCCCAGTTTGAGACAAACTAGACTACTTCTTTGTATACACATTCTTTAGTATCTCTACTTTGCTCCAATTTTCTAGCTATTTTTGGAATTCTGAACGCCACCATTTCTTCTTACCTGCTTCCTACTCCCAGTCCCAGTTGTTGCTTGTCTAAATTCTGTTCATTTCACATATGATCCGTTCTGTGAAATATTCCCTGAATCCTCAACCAGAAGAGAGTGTCTGTTTTACCTTGAACTACAATGGACTTCATCTGGTTTCTTGTAGCACATATTCCCTTTTATTATGTCATTTAGATTCAGAGTTTGCTTCCTCTATTAACCTGAAAATCAGGGAAAGACAGGGCCACATTATCTCAAGCTTGATATCTTCCACAGGCTCTGGCAGATGTTCAGAGTTATTGATTGCATGTATGGTGTGCTCCGCCCTTCTTAGGATTTCAGAATATCAAGGTCAATAGATGACCGAGTCTCTGTTCTCAGGAAGCTAAATCTCCTGAACAGGACAGACCAGTAAAGGAACTCTCCTAGAACAGTAGGTAAAGGTCACCATAGAGCCACCAGGTTTGCTATAGAAGTTCAGAGCCATGGTCAGGCTTGTAGAGTCTTCTCAGATGACAGGAAAGAAAATTCTAGGGACATCACGTTGGAAAACTGGGAGGTGTGAAGATGGCGCTGAAGGAGACAGTTGTGGGGCTGGAGAGGCAGTGTGTGGGGCAGGGAAGAAGTCCTGAGGGGGTGCTGAGAAAAGTTGGGCCATGCTAACCGCAAGCCAGGCTCAGAACTGAGGAGAAGGAGCGAGATCAACTGTGAAAAGAGGACGGAGGAGGCAGTAAGGTCTACTGTGTCCTGCGGTCACAGCAGGAGCATTCTGAGCGACTTTGTTCTGGCCAGCAGGGCTGCAGGGGTGGTGTGTGGCAGGGAGTCACTAGTTGGAGTCCTGGGCCTGGGAGGGTGTGGTGGCCCTGGAAAGGACAGCTGAGGTGGCGAGGTTGTGTGGAGGTGCACTCCTGGACAGCTGGAGCTGGGGGTTGTGGCCACTTGGGCTGTCTGGGAGCAAGTGCCAGACTGCAGGGAATAACGGGAGGTGGGGAGCAGCCAAGGCTTCCTGGTGGCAGCTGTTTATTTCAGAAATTGGATAGCAGGAACCAGTAACAAGGGACACTAGCGTGTGTGGTGTGCTGCGTGGGGGTCCAGGCGTGGAAACTCAGGCTCCCTGGAGATCTCCCAGACACGGTCACTAAGGCCACGCTCATCGTGCACTCGCCAAGCACCTGCCGCCAGGCACTGGCCGTCTCTCCCCTTCAGCCTGGGCTCGGGGCCAAAGTAGCCCCTGACAGTGTTAGTGCAGCACTCATAGGACCTGGAACCTAACTCGGTCGTTTCTCCCTGTAAGTGGAGCGAGAGTTAAAGTTTCTCCCTTTTCCTCCACGGGAAGGTCTGTGGCCTAATGTCGGAGTGATTCTGCCTAATGTTCCATGGGACCACCGGATGTTCATGCTGTGAGTTTCAAGAAACTTTTAAAAAACATATCTTGTTTTTTACGATCACAACAGGTAGAGTGGAACCCCCAGCTGTTGGAGGCCCCACCCCAAACTCAGTTTGATTACACTGTCACCGATCTAGCTGGTGGCCCGAAACCACATTCTCCTTACGACTCTCAGTACAGCAGGACCACCTTGAAGGTGAGCACTGCGTGCTGCTCTGGGCCACTGCGGGTTTCAGCGGGCTCTGGGTGAGATCAGCCTGGCAGGGGTCTGATTCTCTCTCTTCCCCACTGCAGGGGGGCATGTTGGCTGGGCAGCTGACCAAGGTGGGCATGCAGCAGATGTTTGCCCTGGGAGAGAGGCTGAGGAAGAACTATGTCGAAGATGTCCCCTTCCTTTCGCCAGCTTTCGACCCGCAGGAGGTCTTGTGAGTCACTAGAAGAGGATATGTTCACTGAGTGCGGTCTGGCGTGCGAGGGGCCAGACACCCCAGGGGCTCCTGCTTTCTCCCAGAGAGGTTTGGGGGAGAGTGGTCTGATGCACTTGTCCTGAGAGCAGTCGTGACTGGAGGTCGCGTTCATTGGCCTGTGAGTCCTGGGGGCAGCCATCCCACAGAGCGGTGAAGCCTCTTCCTGACCTCAGGGCCCTGGGTGTCCAGAGACTGCAGCTGCTCGTGGTGCAGTGTGTGACTCAGCCTTCCTTCCGGGGGTGTCTCTGCCTTTCTGTTTTTTCCAGTGTTCGCTCCACCAACATGCATCGGAATCTGGAGTCCACTCGATGTTTGCTGGCTGGGCTTTTCCAACGTCAGAAAGAAGGTCTGTCTATGGGGTCTACAAGCCAGCCCCTGGCCCTTGAGGAGCAGCCTCCCAAAGTCCCTCTCTGTCCGTTTCCCCATCTCTCTTCTGCACATGTGGCCGGGGGTGTGCCTGTCCTCAGGGTCCTTGCTGCCTCGCCGTGTGTGTCCGCTCCAGCCTGACCTGTCGGCTCCAGTGTGCCTCCTCCTCTGGCCTCTCCTCCCAGGCATCTGCACAGGCTGCCCAGGGCCGTGCTGTCTGCATCCCGAGGACAGAGGAGGGCAGAAGAGTGCTGATTCACAGTAGGACCCAAGCATTAGCTGCGTTTCTTAGTTTTGACGATAAACCTGTGTATGGCTGCAGTCAGAAATTCCCCAACTTTTTACTGCCAAGGATTGCATTTTTTTCCCTCATGGATCCCATATATCTAGGGTCTTTGGCCATCATTTTTGGCTGGACACGGTGGCACAGTCCTGTAATCCCAGTGTCTGGGGAGGGGGGCTGAGGCAGGAGGATAGTGAGTTCAAAGCCAGCCTCAGCAATTTAGCAAAGCCCTAAGCAACCCAGTGAGACCTGTCTCTAAACGAAATACAGAGTAGGGCTGGGTGGTGGCTCAGTGGTGGAGTACCCCCGAGTTCAATCCCTGACCCCCCACCCCCCCAGAACAGGTGGCTGCATTTTATCATTTGTTATTGATCCAGACTTGAATCCCTGGTCTGCGTTTCAGATCGTCACTACCTCATGAGAATTAAAATAGTAAATGGTGCCATAAGGCAGAGGTTATTGTTCTTTTCTTTAGCTTCTTTAGCAGTATCTCAAATAGAAACAAAACATTCATCGAACTTTTAAAAATAGTAAACAGAATAGGAACTTCAGGCCAGAGGAGCCTGCCTTGACCCTAGCTGGGTTGGGTGCTGCGGCTGGTTTCTTGTGCAGTTGGCTGCTAAGCACAGACGTGTGTAGCCCACAGAAAGCAAACACGACGGCTCTCCCTCCCGCCTGGAGAGCCCGCGAGCTTCAGAATCTCCCACAGGGCCTGATCTGAAGTCCTCACTGGCTCAGCTTCCAAAGGGCAAATGCCCTCTTCCTGGAAACACCAGAAGCGTGACAAAGGAGGGTCACAAATTGGCAATGCCCCAGGGTCCCAGCAGGGAATTCAGTGGGTCCTTACATGTCTCTTGTGTGGCTTCCTGGGTAGCAGTTGTATGCATGGGACTCGGAGAGATGGGGACTTCAGTTAGACTCCTGTTAGAGCTACTTCTGTGCTCTCGCAGCATCAAGGGAGTTGAATGAGCCACCAGGAGTGGAAGTGGTGCGGCACGGGGCTTGGCTTTAGGAAGGAAACCTTCGAGAAGCCCCAGGGAGCTCCGGGAGAACTGGAGACGCAGGCTGGCAGGCAGCTAGAGACAGCTGGCTGGCCCCATTTGGCCAGTCCTTGGCTCAGTTCATATCCGAGTGTCTATTTAGAGTGTCTTTTTACTGCAAACTGTAGTTCCAAGGTGCCGAAACAGCAGCAGACTCCATCCAGATGGAGTACTGTGTAGTGTTGTCCGTGTTTTACTAGATTATTATCAGTTTTTAAAATCCCAGCACTACAGACTTGGTATATACCAAACAGTATTCTAAGGACTTCGCATATATTGTGTAAGTCTTTATAACCCTATGAGGAAGGTACCGTTTTCCATTTTACAAATAAGAGAACTAAGAGGGGCTAAATGACCTGCCCAGGCACACTAAGCGGTGAATGGTATTGGTGTCGAAATCCATGCTGTCACCTTTAGGTTCAGTACTTATCCAAGGATATGTGCATGTAGATCATTTTTTGTGTTTCTGCACATGCAGAAGCCCAGGATTCTTCAGAGAGGTCATGGGGACTATAGGAAAGGAGGGGGCGTGGGACATGCAGATAGACGCTGCTTTGAACCACCACCTGGCAGAGATCAGCACTGTTGCTGTTGGACATGGTGGTGGCGCGGTTCCCGAGATCACTGATAGGGTTCCACCCCTGGGATTGCAGATGAGCCCTGGAGAAAGAGTGGCTTCCCAAGGCAGCCCTGTGGGTTAGTTAGGGACTCAAGGCCTGCCCGACAGACCTTCGGTGGGGTTTCCTTCTGTCGAGACCAACGAAGTGTGTTTGGGTTCTCAGATTCTAGTAACGTTACCATGGCTAAAACCTGGGGTTCTGATCCTCGGGACTCGGGCCACCTACTTGCTGTGTGGACTGACGGCCGTGAATTCCAGGTTGCTGCTGGTGGGAGGTGCTCCTTTTGCCCTTGGGCCTGGGCTGTGGGAAAAGAGAACCTGGGGAAGGGGCGTAAGGAAACCTCCAGGCGTTGCCAGAGGGGACAAGAGCTAGTGACCTCTGAGCAGCAGCCAGGCGTGGGAACTCTGGTCTGATCTTTGGTTCCTAGCAGCTCTTCCAGAAGGCTGGCTTTTATTTTGGGCAGGACCCCAGCCTGAGGAGATTCGAGGCTTTGTGGCCACCTTTCTCAATTGTTAAGTGATAAGTCGCATATTGGCCTAGGAGATTGAGCTTTGGGAAGAAAATAACCTAGTTCTGATCAAATTAGGGACAGCCCGTTCTTCCTTAGGATGCTTGGTTGCTGGCAGGGCTTGAAGGCAGGGAGTGTTGGGATGAGAAAACCAAGGAGAATGCTTCGCTCAGGAACACTCAGCTCTAGACCCTGAAGGGTGTTCCTCAGAATGCCTGCGGTGGGACCGGGCGGTCCATTCCCCTCTGGTCTGTTGATGGCCGTAGGAGGGCCTGTGCTGGACAGAACAAGGCTGCTGCCTGCTTTCTGCAATGCTCGGCCGTGGGAACGCTCTGCAGGGCCGGTGTGCGCTGGGGCCTTTGCTCTCCTTAAGGAGACCTGGTGCTCCAGCTCTGTGGTGGACAGAGGAGGAGGAGGAAGTGGGGCTTGGGGAAGAGCCCAGTGAAGCCTCTTCCTGCCTGTGCACCCATTCCTCCAGGACCTGTCGTCATCCACACTGCTGAGGCAGACTCGGAGGTGTTGTACCCCAACTACCAAAGCTGCCAGAACCTGAGGACGAGGATCAGGTGAGGGCCTAGAGGAGGGCGCCCCTCCCCACCTTGGCTGGCAGACCTGCCTGCCCTGAGGCTTTGCCCAGGCCCACCCTCGTGGCTGCCTCCCGCTGCCACTGCCCAGGGAGTGCAGGAGCTCTTGCTCTTGGCCGCAGGCTCGCAGCGGAGGTGCAGGGAGTCTGGGTGGTGTACAGTCGTGAACAGGCCTTTTCCCGGTCTCTGAGTGGGTGGATAAGGTAGTGAGTGAGCCCGTCATCAGCCTGCGAATCCAGGTACTGGCCCAAGAAGACAGACTGCCCTCCCCGTCCCTGCTGGTGTGCCGCCACGCAGGTCCGTTGGTTAGGGCGGTTACCCTGTTGGTCCTCAGCCATGCTGAGCTGCACCAGGCGACATGAGATGTGTTCTTAGAAGAGAGTGCTGTCTCCAGGCAGACCGGGGCTGTGCATGGTGCTGGGCACGACGAATCTAGAGTAGGACTTGGAAAGTCTGACCCTTGCTGAGTTGTGTCAATCACTTGACTTTGTGGGATCTTAGTTTCCTCATCTGTGAAATGGGAATGATGCAGTGAGCTCCACTGGGTGTTGGTGGGGGTTGAGCAACACACATTCAGTGAACTGTTGATTGCTGTTCAACATGAAGATGATGTGAAAATATTTTTAAAATTGCTTTGGCAGAGGCCGGAAGGAGGCTGCTACTTCGCAGCCACAGATCTCAGAGGATTTGAAAGAGGTGAAGGAAGGGATGGGCCTCGACAGTAGCATGGAAGTGGACTTCTTCATTCTCTTAGACAATGTGGCTGCTGAACAGGTGGGATGGCACTTTTCCCTGACCCTTGGGGTTTGGTGACCATGGGGCAGGCACTTGGATGAACAGGCTCCTGACTTGGAACTAGGTGGGGAGAAGTGGCTGGAGGCCCTCTGGTGTGCAGGCCACTGTGATGAGGCTTACGGGTGGAGTGGATGTGGGGACTGAGGGAGAGGGAGCAATGAGGAGGGGACGGGAATCGTCATGGACTCCTCACCCAGGCTGGAGTGCAGACATCCAGCTCTAGATCAGCCAGGAGTGCAGACATCCAGCTCTAGATCAGCAGGAGTGCAGACATCCAGCTCTAGATCAGCCAGGA